CTCTGGAGCCACATGTGGCTCTTTGGTTCCTCTGCAGCGGCTCTTTCCAGCTTTGACCAAAACGAACTTAAAACTGAATTTTATTGGTTCTTACAACAACTAAAAGGGCTCGTTTTAACAGTTTAACTGTCTTTTATTTTGCAAATACTAGAAACATTACAAGGAGTAGAACATGCTCACTTTCACTTAATGCTTTATTTCTTCAAAGTAAAATACCGGCACGTAATTTTTTTTTTACAATAAAAAAAAAAAATCACATCAGAATGCAGTTTATTGTTTTAGTTTTTAGAAACTGGGCAAAAACAATATTATTGTTTCCTTCTTTACAAGAATCTCATTTTTTATTTGATCTTAAACGTGTAAAAATACCAATAAAAATCAATAGATATTTTAAATTTTATAAAATCACCCCTGCAACAAACTTAAAGTGGTCCATGTGGGCCACCAGTTGAGAATCCCAGTTGTAGCACATTTAGTGAACAAAGGGGCAGAAATGCCTTTTGATGGTAAAAGTTGCAGACCCTGCTTTACAGCAACTGTTGGCATTTGGAAACAACGTGTTAGACTTATACAAAATAAAATCATCTTACTTCTTCACACACCGCAAAAGGTTAAACGCTTCTGGGAGAATATATTTACAGGAACTTTTCACACACACACGCCCATTACAACAAAAATATACATTGCATCTTTACAGTAAATCAAAAACTAGATTTAATGACATTTGCATTGCTTGCATCAACTATAGGTGTCCAAACAATGATTACTTTTTGAGTTTCATTCAAAATAGTTGAGTGGGTCATGAGATATTTTGCTAACAGACAATAACACACAGTAATTAAATGATCATCCACCTTTTATGGCAACCAGTTATAGAAATATTAAATCCTTTAAGTTGTATAACTGATTTACTCGTAAAACTTTAAAGAATAATAAAAGTCACGCTAAAGTATTGTGCTTAAAACAATCTAAGCCTTCACGATGCTCATAAATACATCACTGACAAATAAGCTGAGTTTTTACCGTTTTTCACTGACTGCATATAAAGATGGTGGAAACTATTCTTTAATGCACTGCCTGTGGGCAGCCACAACATAAAAAATAGAAGTGATTTTATGTTTATCATATTTACATTTTTATGAAGAATAAAATGACTTTTGGTTTAACTTAAGAACAACATAATGAGCTTTATTCCACATTAACTTGCTTCCTACAAACACACATAAATGGTAATTGTATAGAGTGATGACGTTTAAAACCTGGAAATGTTGAAAAGAAACAAACATCTGTAACTGTGGGACCTGACGAAAGCAGCTGCTAATCATATGAACACATGCACCACCACCAGCTCCTGTTCTGCAACACAAACAGTGTGTGTGTGTGTGTGTGTGTGTGTGTGTGTGTGTGTGTGTGTGTGTGTGTGTGTGTGTGTGTGTGTGTGGGTTTATTTATTCCATGTGTGTTTGTTTATTCCATGCATGAGTGGTTTTTCTCCAGGTCCTCCAGTTTCCTCCCACAGACCAAAACATGCATGTTAGACTGATTGGTAACTCTAAATTAACTCTAAATTAGTAAGTAATTAAGTTACTCTAAATTGTCCCTAGGTGAGAGAGAGAAAGGTTGTTTGTCTCTATGTGAGTATTAATATTAATTAATCTATTAATTACTAATTATTGTCAAATTTCAAACAATATTAACATTTTTTGCAATAATTTCTGAGACAATTAATCGCCCAGCAAAATTTGTTACAGTGACAGGACTACTGGTATGACAAGTAAAGCAATCCTTGAATCCTTGAAACCATATGGGCTCCCATTTTCAACATGAAAATAAACATTTAGAAAATGTGTCACAAAAGGAACAAAGTTTTGCAATAACAACCTTTGCAAACTCATTCGAACATGTACTGATGTTAGTTAGGAGACGATCTTTGGCTTTGACCTGGCTGTACATCTTTCTCTATTTGTTGTTGATTACAGAGACTGAGATTTACCTCTCTGAAATGATCTACCTGTTCTTGATAATGGAAAACACAGCGTGTCAACTAAAACTGGCTTAAACGCTCCGTTCGTTTGCAAACAGGAAAACTGAGTTATTTTGTGTAATTCATTCGCAGGACTTCATGTTGCACACAAGTACATCACAATGTTTTCCAAGTGAGCTGCTGGGAGGTTATTTCCTGCCCGTGTTTGAACACAGGCGGTGGTCTCGCAGCAGATGAGAGCCGTTGGAAGATGACTTGTTTCAAAGGCCCGCTGGATCTTTGTGAAGCAGCGACTGCAACAGGTGACATTTAGGGCTGGAAATCCATTCTGGCTTTGAACGTGTTGGCCCGAGCTGAACTCTCCCTGAGCCAGCAGAGAGGGCAGACCAGGACAGACGAGCCACACACAGAACTCACTTCATGCTGCAGCAACAGAAAGATGCAACATCCAAGATCGAAAGAGGGTCCAGATATTTCAGCACAAAGAGTTTTCCATGCAACAACTGAATGAACTGAAGATGGTTTGTTCTTGTTTTGTAGGTGAGTAACGGACCAAACAGAGCGTCGAGGTAAGTCAAGTTCACTGTTTGTGCAATTCATTCTTTTATCTGGTCATTTAAAGTAACTTTAGCAGAATGACTTCAATCCAGAATCCACTTTCCTACTAAAATATCAGGAAATGTGAAAATTATTGTGTCATCTGGATGTGAATTCACTTTCATGACTTCCAGGAGATGCAGGATCCCCTGACAGACTGCACCCCCCTCGTCGATGCAGCCGACTCTGGGAAGCTTCGTCTGGTGCGCCTGCTGGTGGAAGGTGGGGCTCAGGTGAACGGGAGCAACCCCAGAGGAGAGACTGCTCTCCTGGCTGCCTGTAAGGCCCTGAGGGGGGAGCCTGCTGGGCCAGAGGCTGTGAAACTTCTCAGGTACCTGCTTCAGAACAAGGTCAGACTTCAGCAGAAGTACATCCTCATAAGTATTGTACTTTGTGCTGCATGCACGCGCAAAATATTTCTAATATTTGAGCCATAAAAGGTTTTATAAGAGAGACGAGTTGAAACAATCTGAGAACTCTGCCTGTCTTTTTCTAAATAGTTCATTTCAAGTGGTCATTTTTTTTCAAAGGGACTCTTATCAACCTACAGTGTTTTGTCCCAGTCAGGCAGACCCAAATGCACAGGACCATACTGGCCGCACGCCTCTGATGTACGCCTGTATGGAGCGAGCTGGAGTTCAGGTGGCACAAACCCTCGTGGCTGCAGGAGCCGACCCCTGCGTGGAGGACTGCTCTGGAGCCTCGGCTTTGGTCTACGCCGTCAATGCACAGCACCAGCCCACGGTGCAGGTTAGTCAGGATGAAAAGGGAAGGATCATCATCCAGCTCATTTTGTTATTTTACGTCTTATAATGAGATCTGCTTTGTAGTAGTTAATGTGAATACAGTCAATTCAGTTCTCTTCTACGGTACATGATCTTTATCAATTAATATTTATACAACAAACCTGCAAATACATAGGCAAGGCTTTATTTCCAGTTTTGTAATTTTTTTTTACCTACCACTTTAAATGTCAGTCTATTTGACTTCATAATCCATCTACAATTAAATAAAAATTTGAGGGTCAAACACTGAACCTTGAGGAACACCACAGTTAATCTCTTCAAGCTGTGACTCCTATTGGTCAAACTGAAAACTGCTATAATTAAAACCCATACAGAGGCACCTTCAGAGCCTTTCCAAGCCTGGTTAAATGTGATTAGCGCTCCACCTTCACTCCTCCACCGCAGGTGTTACTGGATGCCTGCCAGGCCAGGGGTCGTGACATCATCATCATCGCCACAGAGATGGGTACAAATGTAAACCCGGTGACCAGGCGTTACCTGAATGTTCCCCGGTTCCCGGACTCCTCGCCGGTGTCTTGCATGTCGCCATCTGAGATCCTCCTGAAGACGGGCTCACCTAACTCGACCGAGGGAGAAAACATCTTCAACTTCCGAGGAACAAGTGAGTCTATCAAAATCCTGTTTAATCACATCAGATATGATGTGAGTTTGAGCTACTCCCACAGGTGGGCTTGGACTCTTTTATCTGTGTGTGGAAGATTAATGTTTAACAAATGACAACAAACATCAGCTGATTTAGGGTAATACCTGAGAAGAGAGGAAAAAACATGCTGTGGGATGGGACGAGACTGGGCTTACTTTAAAAAAAATCTGTTTTCTGTACCTCCACTAGACTTTCATTAAATTCTCTGTTTCATGAGATATTTTGCTAACACCACAAATGAACACACACAGGTGAAGTATTTATGTGATTTTGACTCTTGCCTCGTTCACTTCTGCAGACAAACCTAAAAGTGGCAGCAGCAGCAGACGTTCGTCCTGCGAGCTGAGCTCATTGAGCCCATGTGGCTCTCCAGCTTCCAGAGGCAGGATTTCATCAGAACCTTGGCTGGACATTCAGAACCTGGCTTCTCTGAACAGAGTATACGAGGAGGGCGTGAGGGAGACGAGACTGAAGGAGGACGGAGGTGGTCAGGGTTTGCGCAGGCGAGGAAATAAAGGGGAGCTGCATCATCCGGTTGAGCAGCGAGATGGACGTGTGGTTCAAAGGAGAGAGAACGCACAGCCAGTCCTCTCACTGATGGAGAAGCTGAGGTGTTCAACACCTGGAGGGTCTGCTTCTGCTGAAGAGCTTTCAGGCTGCCTGTCCTCTCACTCCCAGCTTCGCAGGAACACTCTCCCCTCGGTCACACTAGTCCCACCTCCGCTTCACCTCCCTTCCTTAACGAACCCATCAGACTCTCGCCTGCAGGTGCCAAGCCATGCTTCACCTTCCAAACATCGGACCATGGAGTCCCAGCTTCACCCATCGTGCTCCTCTCTTAGACCAACATCACTCCCACCCCTGGCCTCCTCTGTCACCTCTCTGGTTGCACCTCTGACCTGTTGTAATAGTGACAGAAGCAGGAGGTCGCTGCGTCGTCACTCCGAGCAGCTTGAACAAATCAGAGGAAAACATTCAGACCTCTGAAACTTTATTGTCTGAAGAGCTTGAATGAAATATTATGTGTGATAGTTTTGGATATTTGAAGTGGGGTTTTGAGATGAACAATAAATATCTTACCTGTTGTAGATAGCTCTTTGAGCAGCCTCAGTTTGGAGGAAAACATAGTTCTGTTTAAACAACTTCTGCTGGTGGTATTGCATAAATCTTTAAACCATTGCCAGTTTTACATGACATGGTCATTTACAACAGTTTGCTACAAGAATGTATGTGTGCGGAACAAAAACAGTTCATTTACAGGTGCTGCTCATAAAATTAGAATATCGTGAAAAAGTTGATTTATTTCAGTAATTCCATTCAAAAAGTGAAACTTGTATATTATATTCATTTATTACACACAGACTGATATATTTCAAATGTTTATTTATTTTAATGGTCATGATTATAACCAACAACTAATGAAAACCCCAAATTCAGTATCTCAGAAAATTAAAATATTACTTAAGACCAATAAACAAAGGGTTTTTAGAAATGTTGGCCAACTGAAAAGTATGAGCATGAAAAGTCTGAACATGAAAAATATGAACATGAAAAATATGAACATGTACAGCATCAATACTTAGTTTTGACTCCTTTTCTCTGGATTACTGCATCAATGCGTTGTGTCATGGAGTGGATCAGTCTGTGTCACTGCTCAGGTGTTCTGAGAGTCCAGGTTGTTCTGATAGTGGCCTTCAGCTCTTCTGAATTGTTGGGTCTGGTGTATCGCATCTTCCTCTTCACGTCTCTCCACAGATTTTCTATGGGGTTAAGGTCAGGTGAGTTTGCTGGCCAGTTAAGAACAGGGACACATGGTCCTTAAACCAGGTACTGGTAGCTTTGGCACTGTGTGCAGGTGCCAAGTCCTGTTGGAAAATGAAATCTGCATCTCCATAAAGTTGGTCAGCAGCAGGAAGCATGAAGTGTCTAAAACTTCCTGGTTGACAGCTGTGTTGACCTTGGACCTCAGAAAACACAGTGGACCAACACCAGCAGATGACATGGCACCCCAAACCATCACTGACTGTGGAAACTTGACACTGGACCTCAAACAACATGGCTTCTGTGCCTCTCCTCTCTTCCTCCAGACTCTGGGACCTTGATTTCCAAAGGAAACACAAACTTTACTTTCATCAGAGAACATAACTTTGGACCACTCAGCAACAGTCCCAGGCGAGACGCTTCTGACACTTTCTGTTGTTCAAGAGTGGTTTGACACAAGGAATGCAACAGCTGAAACCCATGTCTTGCATACGTCTGTGCGTGGTGGTTCTTGAAGCAGTGACTCCAGCTGCAGTCCACTCTTTGTGAATCTCCCCCACATTTTGGAATGGGTTTTGTTTCAATATGTTCTCCAGGGTTCAGTTATCCCTGTTGCTTGTACACTTTTTTTTCTACCACATCTTTTCCTTCCCTTTGCCTCTCTATTAATGTGCTTGGACACAGAGCTCTGTGAACGGCCAGCCTCTTTAGCAATGACCTTTTGTGTCTTGCCCTCCTAGTGCAAGGTGTCAATTGTCGTCTTTTGGACAAGTCAGCAGTCTTCTTCATGATTGTGTAGCTTAGAGAACTCGACAGAGACCATTTAAAGGCCTTTGCAAGTGTTTTGAGTTAATTATCTGATTAGAGTGTGGCACCAGGTGTCTTCAATATTGAACCTTTTCACAATATTCTAATTTTCTGAGATACTGAATTTGGGATTTTCATTAGTTGTCAGTTATAATCATCAACATTTAAAAAAATAAACATTTGAAATATATCAGTCTGTGTGTCATGAATGAAAATAATATACAAGTCTGAGGAGCTGCAACAAACTCAGTCTTTTAAGTAGCACACTATAGGCCCAGTAGGCCCACTGTGTGAGTGTGCTATTTATAAGACTGAGTTTGTTGTGGCTCCTCAGACTGATGAAGTCCTTTGGATGAAAGATGAAACGTTTCAACACAAATAAACTGTCCAGAGGAGCTGAGTGAACGTTGTTGGATTGTTTACCTGGATTATTGAGCATGAACGTGGATGTTTGTTCATGGTGGATCTGCATGCATCTCTCGCTCAAACTCAATATCAGTGTTGCCAAATAAACAACACTTAAGATCAAGATCCTTTATTGTCATTATGCGTTACCACAACAACATTTTGTTTATTACTCTTTTTAACTAGTCTCCTTTTCTACACACATCATCTAACAACCTCTACTTTCAGACAGCACGTCTACTCAGCACATGTTATGGTTTGGGCCTAAACACATAACTTTTAAAGCAACTCTACAATTGCTCTTTATTTCCTATCTGGCAACCCTGCCTGGCATGGATACGTCAGTGTATTTTTGGTTTTAAACTAGTTTTAATTATGTTGATTTGCTACAATAAACAATAAGGACAGTAAAGTTTGCAGACATCACTCCTGTGTGAACAGTCTGCTTGATCTCCTCGTCTAGTCAGAGCAAAAATAAGTCAATTCCCGGGGGTCTGATACATTCAGCAGCCTTGGCTCCATTGGTATATAATGGTCTGCACTCAGACATTTGCATAGCCTCTTGCACAGTTACTGCTGGACATGGGCACCAGTCACCCAGAAAAGAAGTAGCTGGTCAAAGATAATGGAGGCATGGAACGTGAACTTTGTTTGAGAAAACATCAACAGACTAATTAAACGTCATGCAAAAGTTAATGTAGCAATTATTTATATTGCTGTTGTTTTAAAGCCTAAAAAATAAAATCTTTTTTATTTTGGATAGTCATTAACCTAGCCTGGAGGAATGGGGGAGTGGTGGCACAGAGGTTAGAGAAGGTGGGCCTGTGATCCAAGTCGCCGGTCTCCGGACCAACATCAAAATGTGGGTGAGAAAGGTGAAACACCCACACCCGTCTCCACCCTCATTTGCACCACTCTGGGCCCCTAACCCCCACCATTTGCTCCACTGGATGCCAGGGTGCCCAAACTTTTTCCCTGAGAGGGCCAAATTTACCATACCATACCAATTTATTTATAAAGCACTTTAAACAGTGACAAAGCACACCAAAGTGCTGTACAGGGACAAACAGAACAAGCACACAGCAACAGATTACATAACAGGACACCAAAAACGTAGAAACCAACAAAAACAGTAATGGATAACAACAACAACCGCAACATGACCAACACAGTGTGATGCACACAGACTCAGCACAGGTCACACAGTGCAGAAAGCCAGGGAATAGAAGTGTGTTTTTAAGCGAGATTTAAAAACTGTGAGGGAGGGGCCCTGTCTAACGAGCAGAGGTAACTCATTCCAAAGTCTTGGTCCTGCTACAGAGAAGGCCCTGTCACCTCTGCGCTTGAGACGGGTTCCTGGGACTGTTAGGAGCAACTGGTCTGCTGATCTGAGAGAACGTGGTGGGACATACGGCTGGAGCAGATCAGTAAGATAGGAGGGGGCAGAGCTGTTTAGTGATTTATAGACATACAAGAGTATTTTGAATTTGATTCGAAGGTGAACCGGAAGCCAGTGTAGGGAGGCCAAAACAGGAGTAATGTGCTCTCTTTTGCTTGTGCTGGTCAAAAACTGGGCTGCTGCATTTTGGACCAGTTGGAGTCTAGCTATGGAGGTCTGACTGATACCAAAAAGGAGTGAGTTGCAATAGTCGAGCCTGGATGTAATGAATGCATGAATTACTGTCTCCAGGTTATTTCTGGACAATATGGGCTTCAGCTTAGACAGTCGCCTCAGCTGGAAAAAGCAGGATTTAACAATCATATTTACATGATTGTTGAGTTTCAAAGAAGGGTCAAGTATCACTCCTAGATTAGTGACTCTTTGTTTCACTAACGGTGACAGAACGGGTAGGTCGATGCAGTGGTTGGTGACTGTGTCATTGGGAGGAAACAGCATAACTTCAGATTTTTTCTCGTTGAAACTCAAGAAATTTAAAGCCATCCAATCTCTGATGTCAGCCAGGCAGTCCAGTAACGGTTGAATAGAGCGAGTACCGTTGAGTCTGAGGGGGAAGTAGATTTGGCAGTCGTCTGCGTAGAAATGAAAAGGTATGTTATGTTTAATATCTATCAGATGGCTGCGGGCCAAATGCAGTACCACATGAGATGCAAATACTTCTTTAAGTAAAGTCCATTTATTTATTATAGTTATTTAACCTTCCATTCTGTATAAAGATCATCACAGAACAGGCTGTGTTCATGGCGGTGCGGGATCTGGGGGTCCTCCCCCAGAGAATTTTGAATAAAATAGATGCCATTTCCTGCATTTTGGTGTATTTTACAAAGGTTTATTACAGTAAACAAAAGATGTAAACTCTGTTATTATTTAAATGTCTGACTGCAAAGTGTTCGTAATGCAACGCCGCTGCAGCTCTGCAGGTAAGAGGTGTTCACTTCAGGACAGATCGAGGTTGCTGATTGGTCAGTTGATGTGTGTGCCTACTAGATTGATGATTTAAATAAAAATCCCATGCCGATCATGCAGCTCATTCATCAATCAGCCTATTGTGTGTCATGTCCAATCTTATTTTGAAAAACCGTGATGGAGCGAGTCCGCGATAAACGAACCGCGAAGTAGCGAGGGACTACTGTAAATGGAAAGATTTAAAACACCATATTTCTGTCGTTGGATAGTTGGTTCAAAATCCAACTTATTTTGACAAAGTTAAGAATGATTTGGTCATAAATGAGATGAGAGGGCATAAGAATTTAAAAACTGGGGGGGGGGGGGATGGGCACAAACTGGTTTTTTTTACGAGTTTTGAATTAATTTCTGGAAAGAAAAAAATCACGGTCCTATTTCATAAAGAATAAAAAAAGTGTACAACTTGATCTTTACTGAGCCTTTTAAGCAAATAAAAATACATTACATGCATTATACACACAGAAAAAGTCCCGTCTCTTCAAGCTCTTGGTGATTTCAACAAAACGCTAACGGCTCAAATCTACGAGAAAGAACAACTAAAAGTCGTATCATGGCAAAAGGAGTGAAGTCATTTTATTTGTTTTTAATATGTATCTACAACAAGGGGGACACAGGCAAAAAACGACTGACGAGTTGATGAAAATTAAAACGAAACAAAAAATAAAGTACATTAATCATCAATGCAGAGTTCCCACCTTTATTTCCCCAATAAGCAAGTTTTTTTTGTTTGTTTGTTTTTTTTAGTCTAAAGCAACTTTACAATATAAAGAAACGTACGAAGGAACCTCTTATTTTACTACACAAGACATTTAGGATCTGAAGCTACCCTAACATGATACAAAGCAACTTCCCGGGGACAGACTGCCTCATATTCAATACTGCTCTGTCATCAAGAGGACAAGGAGGAACTGAAGTGAAAAATCTTTGCTCTCAATCCCCTCAACCCCCCCCCCCCCCCTTAATGTTACAGTATTATACATCAGCACGATAGAAATACAGAAATGATCAACATTGTGACGGCTTTACTTACAGGACAGAAAAGTTGGACTGCATTTTATACAACAATATTTCAAAGTATGGGGAGGAAATGCATGTTCTTTAACTCTCCACCTCCTCTTACTCACACAAATATTTCACCTGCCCCTTCTTTAAATAGATTTTGGTAAAAATCCTTCATAGTAAAGTATGTACTCTGGTCCCTGGAGTGTCGGATTGAGAGCCAGTGTTTTGTATGAGCTGCAGTGTGAGCCGGACAAAAAGGGCCGTTTTTAACCACCCTGTCTGAGTCCAGCCTAAAATATCGTTTTAATAATTATCTCCAAACAAGATTCAAGAACAGAGGCAGATCTGAGGACAGACTTGTCCCTCGCTCGTCTACGAATCATTTCCATCGTGGTGGACCTTGTGACGCTCTGATGCAGTGCAGAGACCCCCCCAGAGTCCGTCTGTTATGAGGTGAAATAGCATCGTAGTCTATAGCAGCTCCCGTTTCTCCTCGTCCGTGTTCATTCTGAGCAAAAGACCATATCTCTGCACAAATACACACAGTTGCCTCAATCAGCTCGTTACTGATCAATTGGTAAATTGGGATTTGAAATATCAAAACATGTCAATGATATCAAAATGCATTTTACAATATTTACACAAAAAAAAATGATTTGAAATCAAAAGACGGGAGTTGTAGAAAAATAACAGAGCGGGAGAGGCGACGTGGAGCCTGATGAGAAGGTGAAGATGGAGGGGGGGGGACTCCATTCGTTAGTCAGCAGAGCAAAGCCTTTGCTGCTTCCTGAACTGCCTCAACGGAGACTCAGAGCTCAATCAGCAGGCAGACCTGCTGCTGTCCCACCTGCTGATTGAGATCCAATAAACCACAAACATGCACGACACGAACTAATCTGCAAACAAACGAGAAGATCTAACGTCAGCAGAAAGAAGATAGCACAAACTTTGTGCACAGTAGAGTGGAGTGAGCTCAGCAGTGCGAGTGGGGTCAAAATGTGACTCCTGTGACGACTTCAGCAACTCCGGGGCTCAGATGGGGTGGGGGGGTCTAATCATGTCAGACAAAGACGAGTCACTCCTGAGCGGATCTGCGTGTTTACACGGTTGCTACTAGTTCTGCGGTTGACACAAACCAGGAATAACACTTAAAAAAGGTAACAAAAGTTCATAAAAAACAAAAGTACATAAATAAATAGAGCTGTGCATTTTACTGCAGGGAAGAGGCTTCTGCTCGTTAGCAAAAAATATCCAGATGTTTTAAAACCAATTAGTACCATGATGGGCATAATCTGACCAGCAGGGGGCAGCGTGCTGGAAAAAGCAACAGTCTTACACAGCAAAGGGTTTCGGACTTGTGTGCACATGTGCTGTCTTCATAATAATAATGTGCCCGTAATAACAACAAAAATATTAGAACCTAGTCTTAAAATGATCATACCAATATTATTAATAACAATAATAAAAATAATGATACAATACATACACAAAAAATATGGAAAAACATGTTCATTGATCATCACGACTGTTACAAATGTACACGCACGTGAATCAGTGTGGGAGGGACGTTTCATTCGACCTGCCACTGAGTCCGTCGGAACAGCAGCAACAAAAACACAAAGAAGAGTTCAACGTCGTGGTTGATCAGGTTCCAGGCAGCGGCAAAGACTCGGCGTCAGTGAAGGAGGGCTGTTTCTCAGTCTCTTCTCCTCGCTCATTGTCTGGACACCGACAGGAAGCCGGAGAGGAGGCTCTTCCTGTTGCTCTGTGACTGCTTCCTGTTCACACCCGCAGACATTTTGCACGCTTCGGGGGGGCCCGACTTAATTAGAGTCCCAGCGTGCTCCAGAGCCGTCCCGGAAGGCTGCGTCGCGTGGCCGTGAAGCCCCCGGGTGAGAGGAGGACAGCAGGTGGCGGTGGAGGGTCCCATCAAGGGGAGGGGGCAGAGGGTGTGTGTGTTTGCAAGGAGTGGTCCAATCCAAGGTGGATGAAGGATTTCATTTAAAACAAATGGGTGGAGGGTCACAAAATATAGGGAGGGAAGGAAAAATATACCAAAAGAAAAAGAAAATCACACACTCATCGTCATGTTGGGTGAATACTGAAAAGAGAAAGAGGGAAGGGGGGAATGGGGGCACAGATGAGTGGATGTGTCACTGACAACATTTAAACACTAGAGAGCGCTCAAACCCAGCCCTGCAGAGACGGAGGAAACAGACTCTGGCTCGTTAACCAGTTTGTCATCCATTTTTACACACGGACACGAAATAACATCCAGAAGTAGCATGCTCTGCTCCCACAGTCAGAGAGGTAACATCTGTTCGTGGCTGCGGCTCTGCAGGACGAGGGCAGCACACGTCACACTTTTACACAATGCAAGGAAAAGAACGCCCCCTCCACCTGCTATGCTCCTGAGACAAAATATTTTCATGAGAGTCAATTAGACAAATGTCCAACAATCAATCTAGAAATCACAAAGTTCTGAGAGCTTCGGTTCAAGCTGAAGCAGAGGGGACAGAATGAGTTCTGTGGTCAGTGAGCGGCTACAATGCAAGCAGACAAAAAGTGTTGTTGTTTAAATTGACAGTGCTGCGTCCCAAGTTTAAAAGCACCGTTATATTATGTTTGTGTGTGTGTGTGTGTGTGTGTGTGTGTGATTAAGGAAGGGATCGAAGCCTAAATCTAATATTCTTCACCAGGTGTGGCCACAGTTTTTCAGCATCCTTTTAAAATGACCAGATCAAAGTGATCTAACTACTACAAGACCCCGTTTACATGAGAACCTCTAGAAACTTTGTGTTTTTTCAATGTTTATTGGTGGTAATAAACAAAAAATAGGGCGGGTGTACACAAAAACTATGCAATTTCCATGTCAGTTGGGTTGCCAGATAATAAATGATGAACTATTGTACTGTCGCTTTAAAATTATAATATTTTGATCTAAACTGTCATATGTGCTGAGTGAAGATATTCTAAAATGAGGTGTGTGTTGTGTTTATTGAACATGCACAGAAAAGGAGGGCGTAAATAAGATATTTTACATTTATCTGGCAACCCTGATGCAGGGCTCAGCTGCATTCATTGTGCATGCAGCGTCTGCATGATCACGGTTACTGGTGAATACACTAATGCCTCTTTGGAGCCTGGACTTTATTAGTTTTGCTCTACAAGCTGAAAAAGGGTGAGCAGCACAAAAACACTCTGCTCTCTGACTTTTATTATAACAGTTGTTATTTATTATAACTGTTGTTATTGATTATAACTGTTGTTATTTATTATAACTGTTGTTATTATATCCTGAT